TGTTTATCTTTTAATAGTAGCCTAGGGCACAATGCAAAAAAAGTGTCTTATTATGTTCAAGATGTCTTTGATTGATATCACCTCCCTTTCCTTTCTTTTGAGAATGCACACATCTATCCATCAAAATCAAAACATGTCGCACAACTCTCCTTCAATAGATCATATGTTCACCAAATGTTGCCTTTAGTGAAACGCATGGTGTCCTGGAGATTTTTTTTTATTAAAATGTACTATTTCAGTTTTAATAGCCAGTAAATTCTTGCTAAATTATTACCCCTTTTATAGTGTGTAGTAAATGTAAACTACCAGAGCAAATATTTTTTTTATTCATATCAAACATAAATTCATCATTCACACATTTTGCTGGTCTTAAAAGATTTGGTTTTCGTAGATGTGCATAACTGAGAACAGAAGACTGTTGTTTTATTTTTAATAAGAAGAGAAATGAACCATAAACAAAACATTTACCTTTATTTATATTTTCCAAACAATGTTACAAAGTAATCACAAGCAGCATAATTACAGGTATAAACAAAGGTCATGGATATTTTTTTTAATTTTCAGATCTGAAGCTGAATGTATAGACAAACAAAATCAATGGACCTAACATCAACATTATAATGGACACAATGCAGTCGTCGAGGTGAGACTGAATAATCCACAGGAAAACATCCGAAAATTTTAAATTTTGTTGTTCTCAGTAGAGGGAAAAACACGACAAAACAAGTTAATATATGATAAACAGCTGCTGCATACATTGAAAGTAGACAGCCTATAAGCTGTCATGACGATCAATAATCAATCTAAAATAATTCCTGAAATACATAACCAATGGGAAAATATAGCTTAAAGTTGAAAAAAGTTTTCAAATATATGATCTAAACTGCTAGAAGTTGAGACAATACAGCTTTCTGCAGAAATCAAAGGTAGTTTTGGCACACATAAAAAATGACATAAAAGGCAATATTAACAGGTAAGTCTATAGGGTCGTTATATTGCAGATATAGCACATTATAGTCAAATGTAATCACTGTGCATATTTTTCAACTATTTCTAGAATAGAAACAAAAACAACTCATGTTTTTTGTGTGTATATGACACTGATAGGTTGTTATGAATATTTTATACAATACCAGAGGTTAAAATTTCCACAGATATGTGTAGATATGAGCAGGGCCGAGCTTTTAAATTCAGTGTTCTTGTTTCAGCAGTATGGTGGGCTGCAGGAAAAGAACCAGTATTATTATTTACATAACCTTTTATTCATCTAACAGTATGTGTGGCTTGCAAAGAAAATAACATACCAGCATGTTGAAGTGATCTCTGCAAACAGCTTTACTCAGCCAGAAGATCAAGAATAGGGCTAGGAGATTTTCAACGACCAGCAGACTTATTACCAATACATTGATTCCTTTCCACAGCTATGTATGAAAAAAGTTTAGAGGATACTGGAAGTGAACACATTTGTTTGCATGTGAGAGAGCAGTTGGTTAGTCAATCAAGATTAATGGTGTTTTTTTTTTTACCTTGAATTCATTAAACTGGTTGAATACAATTCCACAGAGAATAAGTGCCACAATTGACCAGAAGAAGCTGATAATGTTGAGAGAGAATGACACCTTGGCCTGGAAAAAGACAATTCATCAGATTTTTATGTCAATTTTTTTTTTTTTTTTTTGCAAATTAGAGTCAAACACATTTTTATTAGTATTATTATATGTCATGTTACTACATTCACTCTGAATCCATCTTTTTAAGGTCACTCAAATATATTAGGATCTTCCCCATCAAAAGAAGACAAATGAGAGACCACACCTTAAGTAAATCTTGATCTGACTGAAATGAATTCTTTTTTAAAATGATTTTAGAAGTTTTAAAGAAAATGAATCAGAAACAATGAAAAAGTTATATTACTACCAGAAAGGTTTCTACATTTTAAATCAGGCTAGTTTTTAAAAAGCCTTATTTAGTTTACTAAATGATTTTCAGTACAAGAGTTAGTTCACTTACTATGTATGTTTTTTAAACTTACATCTTACTTCTGTATTTAAATTACATTCCTTACCACATGTATGTTTGGATATTTTCCTGCCGCATAGGACAGCATACCAGCGACTACAAACTGAGATAGTGATCAAACATATCAGTTATTTTACACCAAAATATAACAATTATCTCATAATACTGTGAAATAGCAAAAAATAAAAAAAAATAAAAAATAGGAAGCATCACAGCTGTAAAAGGGAGTGTAAGAACAGAAAAATACTGTTCCTTTTTATACAATACCAGAATAACTTTTAGCTACTGTTTGAAGTTGTATTTACCAGAACACTTGGCATAGTGTACACCATGGACCAACTGGCTGTTGCTTTTGCTGTTGCTGTATTTCTCAAAACCAGACCAAGAACACAAAGAAACACACCAGCAATGGCTTGGGCTGCCTTATAAGAA